TGCCTGCCTGGCTGCTGCCTCACACAAGGTCTAGCCTGGCAGAGGCATGTGGCCAGCTGTGGCTACTTGTCACACTCCAGATCCTGAGTCCCCTCAGCACCCTGGTAGTGCATCTCACAGAACTCCTGAATGCGACTGCAGGCCTCCAAGATCATCTCCTCAGGCACAGTGATAACCACACGGAAGAAGTTTGGGTACTCAAAGCACTGAAACGAGAAAGGATCATAGAATCATAGAATGGTTAGGGTTGGAAGGGACCTTAAAGATCATCTAGTTCCAACTCCCCTGCCATGGGCAGGGAAACCCTCCACTACACCAGGTTGCCCAAAGCCTCATCCAACCTGGCCTTGAACACTTCCAGGGATGAGGCATCCACAACTTCTCTGGGGAACCTGTTCCACTGCCTCACCACCCTCAATGTAAAAAATTTCTTCCTTATATCTAATCTAAATCTCCCCTCCTTCAGTTTAAATCCATTTCCCCTTGTCCTATCACTACACACCCTTGCAAAAAGTCCCTCTCCAGCTTTCCTTTAGGCCCCCTTTAGGCACTGGATGGAGCTGGCAGATTACCTACAATAGTGCTGTAGTTTCAGGGTGCTGCCCTGGGGCCACGTGCTGTGTCAGCAAGTGAAAACTGTCAGTGTAGGACAGACTGGAGGACAGCAAGACTGGGCTTTTGCTCCCTTAAGACTGTTCTGTTCCAAACAAATCTCCTGTCTCCATCTGTGTAGACATGATGCTGTGAGGGTGACAGGACAAAGGACTCCATCTACTACATAGGACCCAGGGAATGGGCTGAAAGCAGCTAGAGAAGGAGAGGGCTGGAGAGTATCCAAGGCCCCGTCTGTATTCAATGCTGCAAGTGGGGCTGGAAGTAGATGGGCACAGGGCACACATTATCAGCCTGTAGTCCATCCCTGTGCTTACAAGAGTGGAGGACTGGAAACAGGGTGAAGAAAGGAACATGGGTGATACCAGTCCCACACCTCTGAAGGGAGCGGGTACAGCAAGGAGGTGTGGGAGTACACAGGGTTCAGGGGATACAGCTCTGCCGGTTTGCGCTGTAGCAAGCCTAGAGCTGGGAAGATCCTGGCAGTCTGACTGAGGGCTGTTAATGAGCCAGAGACTGTCAGTCCCCATCCCTACACACTGCACCTGGAGCTCACAGCTAGCACGTACAAACCATGGACACTGCACACACAACTCACAACCTGTCCCCAGAGTTCAGGGCTGCAAACCCCTGTTGCTTCTCTCTCCATGCTTTGGCCCCACAGCTCCCTGGGGCTCTCAGTGTTAGGCTCACCGTGGCTGGTAAGCAGAACACAGACTGCTCCGAGATGAGTCGCTCAGTGAACTCCACATCATTTTCAAACTCAGGGAAATGCTCCATTTCAATCTCAACCTGCAGCAGAGGGATGTAACATGGCAACCATGGGCACCAAAACTATCTGCAGTGTCCCTGCTTACCCACGTGGCCCAAAAACTTCCCAGTCAAGTGCAGCTGTCCGCCCTCAATTTTTCTCACGATTTGGGCTGATTGGAATGTAAGACACAAATAGAAACATATAAAGGAAAACTGGGGCTTCTTTAAGAAGTATTCATTAGCTACCTGAAGCTGGAATTTCAGTTAAGGACATTTTTAGTAAAAAGCTGACGGCAAAGATAGAGTAACCAATTAGAAGTGAAAAGGCATAAATAAGATATTGAAAAAGAGTTTGGGAGAGAACTCTAGTCAATATGCATTAATAATTCTGTCATGCAAGAAATCCATATGGTAAGAAAAAGACAAACTGAAAAAAAAGAAAAAAGATAACAAGGTCTAGAACACCATGAAAAAAATAAATCCTTGCAGGATGATATGATTGATAAAGTGACATAGAAGTGCTGAAATGTTTCATAAATATTTCTGTTCTGTATTTGTAAAGAATGAGGCTGTCCCTTTATCCCACAAGGACAGTAGTATCCTGGCCATGAAAAGTTAAAAAAAAGTTATGGAAAAAGGCTAAAAAAGAGACAACAGCATAGGCAAAAGACAGACATGCTAGTAGGGAGAAGGCTACATTTCCAACAGGAGGTATGGTAGTCTGACTTGTGGTGTAGGGCCTTCCCATTGCCAGCAGGCTTCAAATCCAGGTAAAGCAATGTTGTAGTGCAAAGTACAAGTCATTGAGTTCTACGCAGGAGCAAGCGGGTGAAATGTACCAGGCTCTGCTATGTGAGAAGTGCACAACATGTTCTGGCCTTCTAAAGTGACGAAGGGATCACACACAGAGCAATGTGAAAATGCATGGTAGTGGGCACTTGGTGCCAACCACCAATCTGAAACCATTGACAAGGACTGGCAAGAAGACCTAGAGTGAGTGCAGCTAATCTGGAAATGGCATGTCACTCTCCTCGCTTACCATAAGGTACATGGCTCCGGCAGGACGAACAGGCTGGAGGCCAGGGATAGCTGATAAGGCAGTATAACAAAGGTCAGCATTGGACTGAAAAGCAGAAAGGAGAAATTTCAAAACAGGATAAATTCCAGGAAGCAGCTCAGCAAATGAAAGCCAAGCTCTGGACCAGGACTATAAACAGGTTTGCCTACTGCAAATAAAGGGACAACAAATGCAAACAGCATGGGTGATCATGGCCTTGAGCACAGCAGGTGTGACTGAGTTGAGCTCAGCGAGTCAGTGCCAAACATCCCATCCCTCGGATCACCAGTTCCAGCTGCAGGACTGGGCTGCCTGAAACTTATCACAACCAGTATTTCTTCCCCAGTTACCATGTCCCCTGCTGGAATTGGATTTGTTGGGCTTTCCTAGTCACAGACAGAACTGCACCTTGAAGCAGGGTGGGGAGGGATGATGAGCTAGAGAGAGGTGACTCCCTCCAAACAATCCATGAACAAACTGTGCTGACCAGTTACAGCTTGTTTACCTTGAGAATGCTGAGGGTGTTGTGGTAGAACTCAGGGGGTGTTCGGTGCAAGATACGTTCCAGTGCTCCTTGGACAATTGTACAGGGCCCTAGGATCCTTTGACTCAGTCTTACAAGGCCATCCCTGATCTGAAAAAACATGGTGGTATTTGCAGCTCAGATTGTGCTTCTCTGAAGGAAAGGGACAGCTCCAAGGCCTACTCTCTGTGTTTCTACAGCTGTTCAGAACCCTCTCTTCAGCGAGCAGTACAGAGTACTAAACAACATTTGCTTGACTAAATGCGAGGTATTTGCAGACTATTTACAGTGCCATTCTCTCTTCCTCAGTTGCAGATTGTAATGCCAACAGAGACAACCTGTGGAGCTTCCCAGTCTGACTCAAACCAGGCTGCAGTATAGGTACTACAAATAAAGCCAGAGCTGTTCCAAATGCCACTTTGCAATTCCCTTAGGTTCGGGCCCACAATCCACACTTTCAAAGCCAGCTAGGGACAACCAACATTAGCTCTTCTGCTTATACAGTTGGTCCTTTCTTCTCTCTCTTCCTCTGCAGAAAGCCCTCTAGATGGAACGATCACTGCAGCTGATAGTTGTTCTTGTAAAATAGATAAAGCAGTGGCAGCACTGCAAGGTGGTTTGTACTTAACTTTTATGAGAAACCATATAAGAGCACATAGAGACCGCACATGGACTCCACATGCTGGATAAGCCATGCAAAGCCTTCAGCGCACACTGGAGCTGTTTCGGAAGAGAAGGAATTAGAAGCACACAAAAAGGACAAGGTATATATGAAGGAGCAGCAGAGACAAGGAGTGTGTTGAAGTGCAGATGTGGGTAGAAGGCCATGCATGGGAGCAGATGGAGCAAGGAAGGGACATGAAAAGCCTAGAGGTGCAGAGAAGCATGGAAGCAATTGGCTGACACCCATCTGAGAGCAAGAGAGCAGTACATCCCTGCATCAGTTAAAGCCCTGGTGATCCACACACTGAAGCCACCGCAGATCTGTTGCTGTGACAGTGACACTCAGCAGTTCTCACCTCATTACCAAAGATGTCTCTCCTGTCATGAATCAGGATCCAGCCCATCCGCCAGCCAGGGACTAGCCACCGCTTTGCCAAGCCACCACAGGACAAGATTGGCACATTGGTGCTGAGAGTTGCAATGGGTTCATATTTGCAGTCAGCAAATACCTATGACAGGAGACTGTGTTAGGGCTGTCCCTGCCTCTTACTGTGAGAGCTGGGCGGGGACGGCGGGTGCATGAGGCACAAGAAGGGAGGCAGTAAAGTGATGGGAAATTGATGGTGAAAGCTCCCATCTTCAAGGTATGAACATGGTAAGTGCAGTCATGTGAAAGTGAGCCATTTGGGAAGGGGGAAAGAAGCCGACATGAGGTACTCTTAGGACCACACACCAGAGCACTGGGAGCTCCAGGCATGGACTCAGGCGTAGTATAGGGTAGCAGAGCTGTTGCTCACCTCTGGAGAACTGGCTGCCGTGGCCAAAAGGCAAGTACATCAGAAAGGGCAGGCAGCATGGGGGTGCAAAGGACTGCAACTGACACTCACCATGTCACCGTAGATCTCATCAGCAAGGATGGGCACGCACTGTCTTGATGCCGCTGTGAGAGAGAGGGCATTGAGCCTGGCCACACTGCATCCTCCATGGAAGCAGACTCGCCCTGTGCTGCAGGGCCGAGCAGGGCTCTGAGGGCAGCTCTGTCCCAGGGCAGAGGGTCCCCATCTTCCTCCTACAGACTGTTCATTCAGACAGCCCAAGCATTGGAGCTCCGTGCTCTGGCTGAGCCTAGCTCTGCTCTCACCCATGGGGCAGCCAGCCCAGCCCTCCCACTGACAGGCTGGGCATCAGGAAGGGTAGGGCTCCCTGTGAACACACTCCTTCTGCGGAGCCAGAGTGGAGAAACAGGTAGTCCAAGCCACACAGAGCATTTGAGGAAGAGCAAGACACATGCTCGGCATGTTCCTGCCCAGTTAAGGCAACACCTTCATGCCGAGCCAGCCCTGCTTGCTGAGCTGGAGTCAGTCGTGAGCAGAGAAGCAAAGCTCTGGGCTGTGGTGCTGCAGTGACCAAGACATGGGCAATGTGGGCAGACACCAGACTGCACCCACTGCTCACCTGCGAGAATCTTCTGGAGGTGGCTCTTGCTGAATACAGAGCCACAGGGGTTTGACGGGTTGTTCACAATGAGGCAAGCAGTCTTCTCGTCCACCAGAGACTCCAAGTGCTTCAGATCAATTTCCCAGGCCTTCTCTGGCTAGTGAAGTGAAGGGGAAGTGACAGCTGAGGAACTAGACTTGCCACAGGGGAGGTGTGAAAGGGTGCCCAGGTCACCCTCACCAGCTCTCCAGGCAGAGCATTTCTGGGAGGCAGAACTGTCAGGGCTGCCCCTTTCAGCCTGTCACTGCTTACCAAGAGGTTGTAGAGTTTAACCTCAATCCCCATAGACAATGCCAGAGTCTTGTAGAGGGAGAAGCCGGGCCGTGGCACCAGGATGTTCTGGCCCGGGTTGGCCAGCACTGCCAAGGCAAGCTCTATGGCACTTGTCAGGATGACGTCCTGCAAAGAGCCCGGGGTCAGCAGAAAGCACAGTCACTCTGAAGTGCCCCAGCCATGTAGGAGTGACATGATGCCCAAGCTCCGCCAGGGGAGAGCTCTTCACTCAAAAAGATAAATCCAGAGCCTTACTGAAAGCAAGAAACCTCCAACAGCTGGAAAGGTCAGCCTCCTTCTGAGAAGGGTGGAGGAGAAGGGCTCAGGGCAGAGGACCAGAGCAGCGGGCGGCCACTGCGGGACATGGCCGCAGGCTGGAGCGGAGGGACAAGGCTGGGCAGGGCCCCGCATGGTGCGGACACAGCACCCTCCTGCACCGCAGCGGGAGTACCGCAGTCGGGCACCAGTACCTGGGCCTCCAGCGGCGCCTCCGGGCAGCTGTAGTACGCGGCCACTGCTTCCCGGCAGGACTGGTAGCCTGGGGAAAGAGAAGACGAACATGAAGAGATGCTTTTACAGACCATTTCCTTTTTCTCACCAGCGCACACCTCACGGCTGCCACGCAGCAGCCGGGGACGCCCACGGTAGCGACAACGCCCCAGGCGGCAGAGGCTGCGTGCCTCAGATCGAGCGGCACACAGCCCTGGGGCTGGCCACGAGCAGGGATGGACCCCCGGCAGGGCGGCAGGCTCCAGCCCCAGCATGTCCTGGGCACGGAGCTGACAGGAGCAGGGTGGAGGCAGCCACGGAGCTGCTCTGACCCAGCAGGAAGCCGAGTGCTGTTCCATGGCCTTCGCTGTTCAGTGCTGGCACAGGGACAGCCCCCACCACCACATGGAGTGACCTGCGTGGCAGGCATGATCCGTGCTACGTGCATGCTTTTTGCACTGTCTGCAAACAAGGCTCCTGTTGTCAGCAAAGTCAAGGAACCCAAGGGCAACCCTGGTCTAGGCAGATCAGAAAGGAACTTGGCTGCAACCCATGGCAAGGGGACACAGTCCTGAGCCCTTCCAGTGCCTAAAACCCTGCTCTAATGGCTGGGGGAGCAAATAGCTTCTGTTGGAGGCTCCAAGCCTCAAACAGATCATGCAGGGAAGAGCACTCAGGTGCATCTGAGGGGTACACGTGTGCTCATGGGACTGCTGGTGAGGGCAGCTGCAGGGCACTACTAGAAAGATATCCGTGGGCTCCATACACCTGCTGTGGTGTAGGAGCTGGCACATGCCTTCATTCTGCTCTCACAGGAGGAGCTTTGTCAACTTACCAACAGCTGGAGCATAACCGTTGTAACGTCCTGAGTCCAAAACCTCCTTAACAGCCAGTGTGACCTCATCATTTGTGGGAAGGTTTCCAAAGACCGTCGGGTCTCCTTTTCGAAGATTGAAAAATAGTAAAGTTCTCACTGATACGTGATGAGCTCAGAGCTGTGTGGTTGTCTGGCCTATCCCCAGGTGTCCGCACAAGCTTTGTGCTTCAGAGCCCTGCAATCTGCCAGCCACACAGTCAACCCCACTGCCCAGAGGCTTCAGCCACAGAACTACGCTCACCTAAGGACAAGGAGATCATAGCTTTCTTTGGGTTGGGCTCCACCTTCATGCTGTCTACGATGGCTCGGACAGGATTGAAAGTCTTCTTTGACATTTCAGAAGCCCTGACAGCCCATCTTGGCTTCCGGCCCTTCACCTTCCCCAGCGATATGCTGTTCCCATTGGTCTTGAGATGAACATCCAACACAGGGGCATGATCTCCATGGCCATTCACTTGGATGAGGTACGAGTCCATCCTGAGAGCTGTCAGTGTGAAGCGGATTTCCTGGGTTTAGTTAACATATGACTACCAAGGGATCTGCCCATTTGATGTCACAGCCCACGATTTTCCAAAAGTGAAATTTCTGAAAGCTGTAGACCCTACCTACTGCCTATGGACAACTCAGCAGCAGCAAGTAGGGATGTGTTTGGGGCCAGGATGGAGTGGAAATCCCACACATAAGAGAGCACAATGCAGTGGAAAGGACAAAGGCACTTGTCTGTGCTAGCTGCACCACTGCCTAGCATGGACTTGCTGTGGTGAGGAGGAGTAGGCCCCGCTAAAGCCAGCGGCCAAGAGTTTGCAGCATGTTGTAGTTACTGCTTGACTGCATATTCAATATTCCACAGACAGAAGGACCAGGTCACCCCCCTCCTCCTCCCTAGCTATCAACTTGCACACCTTAAGCTGCAGACACCAGGATCAGTCCACTACGTGTGTTCACGTCCAGAATGTCCCTCCAGTCTGCAGACAGAAATACAGCACTTTTAAAACGAAATCTCAGCTGCCAAAAAGGTAGTTCCGGTCCAATGTTATCAGGATGCACTGAGCAGTGGCAAGGTATAGGTTACATACACTTGCCTCTGTCAGCCCCAGAGACCCTAGATCAAAAGGCAGTGCACAGAAAATGGAGCAAGACTGGTGGAGCCAAGAGGGAAATCAGGGAGGTGGCACTGTCCCAGGCAAAGCGACTGCAGTCCTGCCCAAGACTGGGTAACAAGCAAGGCACAGCAGAGGAATAACTTTCTTCTAGGCCCCAAAACTCGTATATAAGTGACTTAGACACCCCAGCATGTACACCCAAAGTACAAGCCAGACTCAGCCAACAAAAGTCTTACTTATGAACTGCAGCTGCCTCAAGGCTTTCCACCTGCAGAAGGTTAGGGACAGGACATGGGGCAGGCAGAGACCTCCTCCCACCAAGCCCATTCTTGCTGATACTGGCACACTATCTTGTAATCCTGCCCTAAACTGCTTATGCTCTGTACCGTCCTATTTCTCTGCTCCACTGAAAGGCAATTAAGGAAACAGTGGCCCTTTCCTGATGGTAGTTACTTGGGCACCATGCTCATAGGTATGCACAACACAGCTACCCCTTTGTTCCTGCAGAGGCTGAGTTGGAAAGGTTGTAGCATTGCCTAGTTCAGACAGGATTTGCCATCTGAACAAACTTCCCACTGCTCCAGTCAAGCTTGCACCTAGAGATGCCCCTTGCTGCTGCAGTAATCTGCCAGCAGTGTCTCATTAGCCTGTTTTCTACCAAAAGAAAGGCAGCGGAAGAAACATGCAGCAGGGCTGCATAAAAACTGAGCAGTGAAATGAGCCATATATCTCAATTCAACCGCAGGGCTCAGTCACAAGTGAAGAGTGCAAAGTCTATCCCAGCAGACCCTTTGCACCATTTGTGATGTGGCTCTCATGCAAAGCAGAGCTGCAGACACAGGCACAATGGATGCCTCCAGTCTCGGTAGCCAGGGAAGATCTCCCCACTTCTGAAATAAGCATGGTAGTAGAGCAGAGTACTTTACCTTCTACAGCGCAGAGAGGGAGACACCAACAAGCTTGGGGGTCCAGTCCCTACTTTTCACCCAGGACAAATCCCCTTCAGAAGAAATTCCTGCAAATTCTTGCCCATGAAATAAGCCCCAAAACAGGGCGTTGAGACTGAATCGTTTAGCCATTGGCTCACAGAGAGGGCTGCTCTCCCCACCCAAAAATGCCCTCTCCTCCCCATTGCAACTGCTCACTTCAAACACCCGGAACATGCCTGCACATTAACTCTTTCTGGGGGGCAGCCTACAGAGGGGTGCAGTTGGGTTTCCTGGAGGCTCTGGACTGCCACCTTTTTGCACCACTTCCTTCAGTCCTCAAGGACTGCCAAGGGCAAATCTGCACAGCCTCCAGGTATTCCAGCCCTAGCACCTGCTAACGCACCAAGAGTTGACTGATGGACCTCAAAGCCTGTGGAAGGCATCAGTCTGTCCTGACCTCAAAGGCTCTGGGGTCCCAATGCAGCAGCTGAGAAAGGACAGTTTGTGGCATCATTACAATCAGGAGACATCTTCCTCCATAGGCTGAAGGGAGGGAGGCACTACCCTAGCCAGGGTCTTGGAGGCACCAGGACCTGAAGGGTTAAAGGAAGCTCAAGTTGTCATGGGTTTGGTTTTTTTTTCTTTTTTCTTTTTTCTTTTTTCTTTTTACAGTAGTCACTGCAGAGACCAAACAAACTCATGATTTTGGCAGCTAACAAAAATGATGCAATTCCCTCTCTGGTAGTACTGCAAAGCACAGCTGACAGCATTCCCAGAAGGCCCCTTTTTTGCTAAATGATGCGAAATTTATGCCTTCCTGTCCCTTGACTCCTGCAGGCCTGGGATAAATAGGAGAGGCATTTGCACCCTCCCTGTCCTCCAAGGGCTGCTCCAAGTCTTCCCTTGCTGCCTTGGCAGCAAATGGCCAGAGATCAAAGGGTTGCTCAGGGACAAGTGGGATCCTGCTAATCTTGCAAACAGACTGCTGACACCTTCGTTGCAGAGGCCAGTGGTCACTGTGATTTTTGCCTGTTTACACCCGCTCCTGCGTGGGAGGAGGAAGGACAACTTGCGCTCAACCCACGCTCACTGCACCACCATCAATGTGCTGCACCTCCCCAGGCGCAAGCAGTGGCCCCTTCCTTGGGCTTTGGGGCTGGGGTGGTGCTGCTGGGGAGCCATGACCTGCTGGTGTGACCACAGTGCTGCAATGGGCATTGCCAGGGCCATGGCGGGGCCAGGGGCGCAGGGCTGGAGGGAGGCTGGCAGATGGTGGGGGGCCGAAAACCCCAGCCCCAGACTGACTGTCAGGCCTCCCAAGCAGCCACCCCCTGGGCGATTTGGACAAGGAATAGCATCTTTCAAAAACACTTCACAGAGACACATCTTGTATTGAAGCTGCGTGGACTCTCTTCTGCTGAGAGCGGCACAGTTCCAGACTATTTTCTCTCTTCTTTTTTACTAAAGCCTGGCATGAGTGACCTTCAGAAGTCCATGCGGGCTCTCTCCAAGCACCTATGGGTAATTTTCTCACTTTCCCCAGCTGGCTCCATCTCTTGTCATGCTGCAGCCCTGCCAGTGTGGCATTGGGAGGCCTCAAGGACGATGCTGCATGTTCTGCCTAGCAGCAACCCTGAAGCTGACGCAACCAGAGCTCTACCTGTAATACTGCTCATAGCAGTGGGGTTCAGGAGAGGGCATGGTGGAAGCTGGCTGCCAAGAGGGGAAAAAAATGTGGCTCTGGAGGTGAAGGTAGACCCAGTTACATAAAGCTGAGAACCTGGCCAGATGCAGGGGGAGGACAGTGGTGTACAATGGGGTCAGTAAGTTTCTCCTGCTATTACTATGCCTTTCTCTTGTCTCTGGACGACTCCAGTCCTTCTCTGGATGCTCTCACATGGGGTCTGCAGCCCCCTAGCACCTTCTGGTGCACAGAGCCTCCTAAGGCCGAAGCTTGCGCACACAGCTCAGCACTTCACATTCTACAAATATGGCCAAGCCACCCCTTGTACGGTGCGGTGAAAGAGGTGGCCATACTCTGCAGGATGCATTTCTGCCAGCAAGGCAGCTGGCTGTCTTGACTGTCAGGACCTCTGTACCCCACCAGCCCTGACTAGCCTCCCCCCTGCAGTTTGCTCCTCTGTCTCAGCAGCTCTCTCTCACAGCTATCTTGTTGCACACCTCTTCAGCTCCCTCTTTCTTGCGAAGCTTGTGAAATGGATTTTTGTCTCTTCCCAGTGGAAGGAAAAACTGGTGATGGCTTCAGTGGTTTTTTGTTACTGCCTTGCTCTCGTACCAGGACTGTCCAAAGTCCCGTTTCTGTAACAGAGGCCAAGTCAGCAAGAGCAAGCAGTTCCCTCTTCTAGGACCAGCCACAGTGTACTGATCTATGTGATGGGGTTTTGGTAGCACAGGAGGAGCTGTGGAAATGGTCCCTGTAAGTAGGTGCAAAAAGCTTCCCCGGCTCCAAAACCGGTCGGACTGGACTTCGGCCAGGTCATACCCCCCATCCCTTCAGGCCAGGGCTGAGCCATCAGCACCTCTGCCAATGCCCTATTTAAGACAGGGACAAAGGAGCCCGACCTGAGGCTGGACCTACACTGAAGAGAGGGGAGAGGCAGGGAGCTGGCCCCCCCGCCTTCCAGGCAGGCAGCTGCCCACACTGGGCCACTGCTACCCGACTGGAGATGGCCACAGCAGCGCGGCTTGGAGAGCTTCGAAGTGCCTCACTCCCGGGGTGCCCACTGGGCGGAGTTCATTCTGCTGGGACTGCCGAGGTTCATCTGCCATGTCAGAGCAGGTGGCAGCTCCTTAGGAAGCCGTGACCCTGTGGGGAAGAAGCCCACGCTGGAGCAATCCGATGGGTAAGGATCACATCCTGCGGGAAGGACTCACGTTGGAGAAGTGTGTGGACTGTCCCATGAAGAGAGAATCCACTGGAGCAGGGGAAAAGAGAGTAAGGAGTCCTCCTCCTTTGAGAAAGGAGCAGCAGAAACAACTAACCTGCAACCCCCCCATTCCCCATCCCTCTGCGCCGCTGGGGGAGGAGGTAGAGCTGGGAAGAAGGGAGAGGTGGGGGGAAAGTGTTTTTAAGATCTGGCTTGGTTTCTTGTTATCCTCTCTGAATGAACCATTAATGAATTAAATTGATTTGTCCCCAAACGGAGTCCGTTTTGCCTGGGGCCATGGTTGGTGGGTGCTCCCTCCCTGTTCTTGTCTCCTCTCAGGCCGTTTGTTACATTTTTCTCCTTTCCACTTCGCTGAGGAGGAGTGAGGAGGGACCCACGGTAGCTGAGCCGCCAGCTGGGCTGAACCACGACGGAGAGTTATGAAGCAGGACTGACAAACAGCTTCTTTAGTGGTGCGCAGGCTCGAGCATCACTGCACTGACCAACCTGTGTCTCCGTCAGGCTGCAGACAGGACATGCACCAGTAACGTTTTGCCCATGTGCCCTGCACCCCCATTTAGGGTGCACTGCTCCAAGGACAGGCACTCAACTGGTACTCTGCACAAAAATCCACCAGGGTCAATAACAAATCACTTTACTAGCTACTTCCTCACATTTTGCTTTTATTTTCAGCAATTTCTGTCTGCTCCTTTCTGACATGGGTACAGCTCCATCCAGTTCAGGGCTGGTATCCACAAATATGCGTGTAGCCTAATCTCTCTTTAGTCTCTGCATCCAGTTGAAACAGCTTTTAATAACCAAATATGTGATTTTTCCTTTCTTTTTTTAAATCCATTTAGTGTTAATCTCTCATTTAGATGAGCAAACAGACATGAAGCCTCCTTGACTCTCATTAATTTTGTGACTGTTTATTGATTCTCATAGCATATTTATCTATATAACACCACAGCAGGTTTCCTGAAATGCAAGGGACAAACTTTGTTTGTTACAGGTTGGGTCACATGGGCAGTCTGAACATGCACATATCCACAGTTAAATCTGCCTTGCGGCGTGGACAGGACTGCTGTGCCAAACCTACGTATATCTGCGTGAGACTCCGATCAAACCATGATGATGGTTGTGCCTCCAGCAATCTTAATCTCCCAGCATTCACCTGAACTGGAGCACAGAACCTGTTACCTCGTTGCATAATCAGAGCAGAAAAGCAGCTCAAAAAAAAAAAAAACCCAGCTAGGTTGTACAAAGCTGTGCAAACATTGTGTTTAAGAGCCGGAAAGATGGCACGATCCACACAGAGTAACTTAAAGCCAGTAATCTAGTGACTCAAAAATATACAGTAGCTACTTTATCTATCTGCCTGTACTTAGGATCAATTTTGATTTGATCTCAGAAATCTGAAAGACATCAAAAGGCAAATTGCACAACCTAGCTAGAGATGCCTCATTCTGGAAAAGTAGCCTGCGCACAGCAAGCGTTTTGCAGAGTGCTCTTCAGACCTGTGTGAACTGGGCTTTGGAAAGGGGAGCACTGTCTGATCTCTGCGCTTCTGAAAGCGGAACAAGGTGGCTCACACCATGCACAAACGCAGGGCATTTCAGGAGGGACAGCAATGCTCAGTCCCAGCTCCTGGTGGGGCTCCCTTCCACAGGCCCTGGGTCAGGCTGAAAACAGCTGCATTAACACACCTGCCTTAATGAGCGCTATCTCCTACAATCGCAATTTCCCTTTGTCAAGAAAACTAGGGACTGTGAAAACCAAATGCTTTCATGACCATGGCATCTTGTGGGCCTCTCACAATACCAGTGTCTGCAAATGCAGTACCTCATACCAGCTGTGCTGGACAATCCAGATTACTCTCCTCAGTCATGGACCACGGCAGCACTGGGGAGGGGAAGGAGTCCAGCAGCTGTGAGAGCCCTTGCACTCTCAGCCTGGGCACTAAGTCACTTGCAAGCATGCTGAGAAACAGAGAGCACTGCAGGTTCGTGGACAGTTGGAAGCACTGGTGAGCTACAGGCTCAACAGCCAAGTCTGGAAAGTCCTCTTACAGGTGTTGAGAGGAATGCTCCACTAAGTGTGAGCTTTAGTGGCTCCTAGGTACAGACACAGTGAAGAGGAATACCTTATCCAGCCTTGTGTTTTGC